TGTAGCTGACGCGCGGCCGGACCAAAAGTCTCCCTTCCGGCAACCGGTGCCCCGCGGTGTCCCGCCGGTGTCCCGCTCGGGGGCCGGTGTCGCGCGGTGTCCCGCTGGTGTCCCGCCGGTGTCCCGTCGGTGTCTCGATGATGATGATGATGTTGTTGATGATGATGTTGACGGTGATGATGATGATGGTGATGGTGGTGATAATGGTAGTGTCCCGATGATGATGATGTTGGCGATGTTGATGATGATTTTGATGGTGATAGTGGTGATGATGATGCTGGTGGTGCCCCGATGATGATGATGATGATGATGATGATGTTGATGATCCTGACGATGTTGATGATGACCAGATGGTTGCATGCTGATGATGAAGATGATGATGATGATGATGATGATGATGATGATGGTGGCCCGATGATGTTGATGATGAGGTTGATGATGCTGCTGTTGATGATGATGGGGATGATGATCATGGTGACCCGAGGATGATGATGATGATAATTATGATTATGACGACGATGGTGTCCCGATGATGAGGATGATGAGGTTGATGATAAGGATGATGATGATGAGGTGGTGATGATGGTTTTGATCAAGGTGGCCCCCCAATGATGGTGATGATGATGCTGATGTTGATGATATTGGTGTTCCGATGATGTTGATGATGATGCGGGTGATGATGATGGTGTCGATGATGATGGTGCCCCGATGATGATGATGTTGATGATGATGATGCTGCGAATCATGGCGCGGGTGTCCCGATGATGGTTTTGATGATGTTGTTCATGATCACGACGATGAGATATTGATGATGATGATGATCGTGGTGTGCCGATGCTGATGATGGTGTCCCGGTGATGATGATGTTGATGATGATGATGGTGACGATTCTGGTGTCCCGATGATGATGAGGTGGTGATGATGATGTTGATGGTGATGAGGTGATGATGATGACGATGGTGTCCCGATGATGCTGATGATGATGCTGATCATGTTGATGACGTTGATGACGATGATATTTATGACGATGATAACGTTAACCGAAGGTGGTATCAATTGTGCGATCGATATGAGATCGATAGTGAGATCGATTGTGAGATTGATGGCCAGATCGATTGTGAGATCGATCGAATAAAATGTATCGAGTGGTATCGATCGAGGGAGATCGATCGAGGGAGATCGATCGAGCGAGACCGATAGTGAGATCGATCGTAGTAAGGTCGATGGTGATACCGATCGAGTGAGACGTGGGTTCCACCCCCCCCGAACCTCTTTATCACCCGAAGGGTAGTCGTATAGGTCCACATACACACATACACATATATCTACACAGACACATATATATATATATACACGCGTGTACATGTATACCCATACATATACATATATATAACATTATATCATACATAAAAGCATGCATATCCGTATACGTATGCATGCATGTCTACATGCATAAACACATATTTACACAACTACTCATACACGGATATAGCATAAACAATCAGGTTCGGCCCCCTCCCAGGGCGTCTTCCACTTCGATCATATCTGGATTACGCTCCCAGTACCGCGCTTCCTGGCCTCCCAGGGAGCCCCAAAACGCCCAAAAACAGCCCAAAACGACCCCAAGAAGCCCCCAGAACGTAAACAAATTAGCCTGGCGAAGGACCCAACCATATGCAGTTGAGAGTACCGCAATTGTGAATATCTTCTTCGGTGGAGCTCCCTATGGGGCCACGAAGCGTGTGAGGGGTGTGCCGAAATGGGTGTGCGGGACGCATGCGGACGGCAGCATTGGGGCCTTCGGTGGAGCTCCCTGTGGGGCCACGAAACGTGTGAGGGGTGTGCCGAAATGGGTGTGCGGGACGCATGCGGACGGCAGCCATGGGGCCTTCGGTGGAGCTCCCTATGGGGCCACGAAACGTGTGAGGGGTGTGCCGAAATGGGTGTGCGGGACGCATGCGGACGGCAGCACTGGGGCCTTCGGTGGAGCTCCCTGGGGGCCACGAAACGTGTGCCGAAATGGGTGTGCGGGACGCATGCGGACGGCAGCCATGGGGCCTTCGGTGGAGCTCCCTATGGGGCCACGAAACGTGTGAGGGGTGTGCCGAAATGGGTGTGCGGGACGCATGCGGACGGCAGCACTGGGGCCTTCGGTGGAGCTCCCTGTGGGGCCACGAAACGTGTGAGGGGTGTGCCGAAATGGGTGTGCGGGACGCATGCGGACGGCAGCCATGGGGCCTTCGGTGGAGCTCCCTATGGGGCCACGAAACGTGTGAGGGGTGTGCCGAAATGGGTGTGCGGGACGCATGCGGACGGCAGCACTGGGGCCTTCGGTGGAGCTCCCTGTGGGGCCACGAAACGTGTGAGGGGTGTGCCGAAATGGGTGTGCGGGACGCATGCGGACGGCAGCCATGGGGCCTTCGGTGGAGCTCCCTATGGGGCCACGAAACGTGTGAGGGGTGTGCCGAAATGGGTGTGCGGGACGCATGCGGACGGCAGCACTGGGGCCTTCGGTGGAGCTCCCTGTGGGGCCACGAAACGTGTGAGGGGTGTGCCGAAATGGGTGTGCGGGACGCATGCGGACGGCAGCCATGGGGCCTTCGGTGGAGCTCCCTATGGGGCCACGAAACGTGTGAGGGGTGTGCCGAAATGGGTGTGCGGGACGCATGCGGACGGCAGCACTGGGGCCTTCGGTGGAGCTCCCTGTGGGGCCACGAAACGTGTGAGGGGTGTGCCGAAATGGGTGTGCGGGACGCATGCGGACGGCAGCCATGGGGCCTTCGGTGGAGCTCCCTGTGGGGCCACGAAACGTGTGAGGGGTGTGCCGAAATGGGTGTGCGGGACGCATGCGGACGGCAGCACTGGGGCCTTCGGTGGAGCTCCCTGTGGGGCCACGAAACGTGTGAGGGGTGTGCCGAAATGGGTGTGCGGGACGCATGCGGACGGCAGCCATGGGGCCTTCGGTGGAGCTCCCTGTGGGGCCATGTGAGGGGTGTGCCGAAATGGGTGTGCGGGACGAAAACGGAGCATTGGGGCCTTCGGTGGAGCTCCTGTGGGGCCAACGAACGTGTGAGGGGTGTGCCGAAATGGGTGTGCGGGACGCATGCGGACGGCAGCCATGGGGCCTTCGGTGGAGCTCCCTATGGGGCCACGAAACGTGTGAGGGGTGTGCCGAAATGGGTGTGCGGGACGCATGCGGACGGCAGCACTGGGGCCTGGGGCCTTCGGTGGAGCTCCCTGTGGGGCCACGAAACGTGTGAGGGGTGTGCCGAAATGGGTGTGCGGGACGCATGCGGACGGCAGCCATGGGGCCTTCGGTGGAGCTCCCTATGGGGCTACGAAGCGTGTGAGAGGTGTGCCGAGAGCAAAGGCAAGGAGGAGGAGGAGGGGGGAGGGGGGGAGGAGGAGAGGAGGAGGAGACGCGGGGCGCTGTCTCTTCAAAACGAGGACCCAACACCACAGGATGGTTGGGAACTACCCAAGGCGCGCCCAAGCACCCCAGGATAGCTTTCGGGCAGCTCTCCAGGCTCCAAGGAGGCTTCCGAGAGGCTTCAAGAGAGCTCCGAGAGGCCTCCCGAGAGCGCCCGGGAACCTACTCACCATTTCATGGTTCCAACGCTCCAACACGGCCGAAGAGGCCCCCAAGATCGCCCCAAGATCGCCCAAGAGGCTCTCAAAACGGCTCCAAGACGGGCCCCAAGACTGCCGAAGAGGCGCCCAGGACAGCTCCAGACCACCCCAGAACAGGCCCAAGATGAGCCCAAGAGCGGGAGCAGGCGGCCTCCAGAGACCTACGAGAGGACTCTGGGACCCCCCAGAGGCCTCCAACACACCCCAGACCCCTGAGGGGCCCCCAAAAATGCCCCGACAAGGCTCGAAAAACAGCCCAAGAGAGCTTCGAGAGCCGTCGGGAAAGCCCGAAGAGGGTAAAATCATTGATTTCCAGTGTTTTTTTTCGCCTTCTCATGTTTTCCCGCTTCCAACGCTCAAAGACCGACGAACTTGAAAAAAAAGATTCCGTTTGTTTTCGAGTTGGGCCTTCTATTCCTTATCCTCTTCCTCGAGTCCCGTCAAAAGTTCGGAATCACATGCAAAGATATTTCTGGAGTCTTGTTGAACTCTCTGACGCTATATTGGCACTCTCTTGGGTCGTCTTCGCGTCCTTTCGGCTGCCCCTGAAACCACAGTAGAAACCGAGATCACATGGTCCCATGAGCTGAAAACAAATACTTGTATTTCAAACTTACTACCTGCTTATGTTTGCACGAAGATCCCGAGAGGCATCCCAACGGACCGTGGCCTGTACGTATCCAGAAAGCTTCTAACCCACAGCCTGGCACGGCAATTTGGAAAGCATGGAATCCCACAATTTGTTGTTTTTCACATGTGCCCGTTGTCTACTCTTGCACAACAGACCACAAAGGAAGGCCCCCCGCAGCTCCCAGAAAAGAAGCCAGGAAGCCTTTGAGGGCCCCAAATCGTTGAATACCTAGCGGAAGTTCTTCACGCTTCGCGTATCCCCACCAGCCGTTCCAAGTGAGTGATCGGTTTCGGCACCTTCCGCTTGGCTGTCTGGCCCCACCTGCGGGTCCGACCTTTCCGCCCTCCCCACCCTCGCTGGCACACGCTCAGCGGCTGGTTTTCCTAATTGCATCCCTCGCTGGCACATGTTCAGCGTTGTTAATTTCCTATTGCTGGCACATGCTTAGCTGCTTCTTGGCCAGCACTCGTGCTGCGCCGCTAATTATCTGCCTTCCCGCGCGCTGTGTCCCAGCCTCGTTCTTACCTCCCTCTGGAATTTTCCTTGCGGGCCGCGAATCAAAAAGTATCCCCACCAGCGTCCGTAGCCTGGCTCAAGTCTTCCTGGCACAGGCTTGCTCGTTTCTGGCGCCCCGCGGCAGCTATTGGATAGAGAGAGAGAGAGAGAGAGAGAGAGAGAGAGAGAGCGAGGGAGAGAGCGCGCATAGCTGCACCCGAGGCGAGCTGGAAAGCCCGCAGGGATGCTGGGCTCGCTGAGGTTGTGCCGAGGGACCGCGCGGGCTGCACCGGGGCTGCGCCGCGGGTTCGCCGCGCAGTCGGAGATCGTCGCGACGCTCCAGGGGAAGATCAAGGCCCTCGCGGAGAAGAAGGGGCCCGCTTTCCAGAAGTTGAAGAAGGAGCACGGCGACGATTCGCTCGGCGATGTCACTGTAATGTTATATATATATATATATATATATATATATATATATATATATATAAAAAGGCGGTGGTACGGTCCTCGCGCTGAGTGGTTCAGCCTTCAACGCGTCGGCTCGGTTCTATCTGCATCTGGTATCCGCGAGTTGCAGTACACCGGCCCCGAGCCAGCGTGTTCTTGCTCATCGTTGCGACCCCGACCTGTCACTGGCATCGGTACGATGACGACACGCCGGCCCCCCCCAGCGCTGGATCGGTCCGCGGAGTGTGTGGGCGGTTCTGGTACCTGCAGTTCACCGACTCTCATTGTGGTCTTGTTGTGGCAGGTCCAGTCTTGGCTACACCCCTACGCCTTCAAGCTGGCTGCGGCTGCAGCGTACCTCCGCAGCACTCGGCCGCTACCCGATGGCAGCAACACTGACGCTTGGGCACGCGTGTCCTACCATCGTGGCTTCAGACTTGTGAGTGGTTTCGGGTTCGATGGCTGGCCGGCCCCACCGTGGGCAACGGTGTGGATCGTGGAGTGAGCACTCTGTAGGTTCCTGCCTATTCTGCCCGTGTCTGAGCCGACATCGGTACGGCTTTGGTACCCTGGTACTACCTGTCCGGGATAGGTCGGCCGCGCGGACTGGCGCCGACAGGGCGACTCTCCGCTGCCGAATGAGGAGCATTTTGCTTATTGCACGTGCACTTGCATTCATTGCATGTTTTTACTGCAGGTGTGTCGCCTGTTGTTGTAATTCGCCTCGCCTGCTGGCCCAATCGACGCCTTCCGCTCCGTGTCCGCCGCCTCGGAGCCGCTGACCAAAAAAGTATCCCCACCAGCCCACTTAGTGGGTAATTCAGGCCACTGCTAGCTTGCACTTCCCTGACGGCGCCTGGCACCCCTGCCCGCTCGCGAACAAAACAAGTATCCACACCAGCCCATTCAGAAACCCTGCCCTTCAGAGCTGACGGGAAAAGGGACGAAGTGACACATCTAATTTGGGAAACCAAAGCGAGCAAGGGTGTGGCCTCGGAAGGCCTCTTCGGGCCATCCATGGGTGCCGCGTGGGGGCGAGGGGAAGAGGAGGAGGAGGAGGAGGACGAGGACGCGGATGAGGACGAGGACGAGGAGGACGAGGACGAGGACTAAGATGACGACGATGGGGACGAGGACTCGTGGAACCATCTAGAGGTATTCTTGCGGCTGCTGTTGCTGCTGCTGCTGGTGCTCTCTGGGAGTTTTGGGGGCCCTCTTGGAACCCTCCTTGGTAATCCTGGAAGGCTTCCTGGGATCATCTTGGAGGCCATCGATTACAGCATGGGGGGTCCCCAACTCAGCTCCCCCCCTCAGGAGCCGGCAAACCGCTTCTTGGGGCTCTCTTGGAGCGCTCTTGGGCGCTCTTGGAGCGGTCTTGGGGCCGTTGGGAGCATCTTGGGAGCCATCTTGAGCCAGCTTGGGCCATCTGAGCCATCTCGGAGGTCATCTTAGGCTCTCTGAGGCCGCTCGGGGGCCTTTTGGGGGCCTCTCGGGTGCCTCTTGGTGCCCTCTTGGGACCCTGTTGGGGCTTTCTTGGGGCTCTCTTGGGAGCCCTGGAGCGCCTCTTGGGGCCACCTTCGAAGCGATCGATCAAAGGAGGAGGAATTCGCATGATCGAGGTCCTCCCCCCCCCGAGGGCCACGATCCTCTTGAGGGGTGTCAAGAATTCGTCCTCCCAGGGGCCGATCTTGGACGGTCCAACGGATCGCGGCCCCTCCCATCCAGGTCCAGGAGAGGCGGTAGGGGGAGGGGTAAACCCCTACCCGAAGGAAGAAGGGTTTTTTCGAAGAGGAAAGAAAGTCATCGTTAGACCACCTGCGCCCAGAGGGCTGGTGGGATTAATGATTTCCGCGCTTCCGCAGTTCCCCTCCTTTGCGGTTCCGAGGCTTGCGCAGGGCCTCCAAGAGAGTCCCGGGATGCAAAAAGCGAGACAAATGGTATTCCATTTTTTAGCCCATCAAGCCTAGCTAGAACTTGAGCGCGCGCGAAGCGCGCGCGATGGTTCGAGTACGTCTATGTATATACACACAAGCATACACATCTCCGTATACATGCACATACACATATACATATACATATGCGTTTACGTATACCTATACGTTTGTGTATATATATATGTATACGTATATATATCGACAGGTATTTCTACACATGCACATCCAACTACACATACACGTACGCATGCGCATACATGGACATGTACACACGCGTATACCTATCTATCATCGCGCGTCCTCATACTTCTCCTCCGTTCACACTTGGCTCCGCCCTGCCTCCGTGTGCCTGGGCCCCCTCCCTCCGCGGCGCCACGGGACGGGGCGGGGGTGAGGCATCGACGCGCCGCGCGCCCGTTCTGCGATCTGTGGGAGGGTATGTGGGGCGCGGGACTCACAGACGAGGGCTGGAAGATCGCGAGTATGTCGGCGCGACCCGTGCGATGCTCACTGCCCTCCTCGCGCGAAGCTCGTGGTTGGGGGGTCAAAGGATCACGAGCAGCCGGGCGCGACCAGCGCGCCGGCGAGGCATCGACGTCGCGATGCTCACCGTCCTCCTCCCTTTTACTCCCCGTCTCACGCCGGGTACCCCAGATTTCGTAATAAAAGGGAGGGGGTCTGGACCCTCCAAGGCAAGCCATTTCAGACCTCCCCCGTGGGAGAACCCTCCAAAACATCGTCCCCAGACCCCCCAGGCCCTCCAAGATGGCCTGGAAGAGACCCCCCCCGAAATGAGACCCCCCTCCCTTTTTCAAGAGGAAAAGAAACACACAGACACAATTAATCCTCGATTCCCCAGAAAATATGGGAAAATATGGGAAGTGGGGGGGAAGACAGAAACCCTGAAAATATGAGAAAATATGGGGGATCTGGTTATTTGTGTGTATTTATCTGTGTGTGTGTCCCAGGGCCTCTTCACTTTTACGCCCCGTCTCACGCCGAGTACCCCGGCCGCGCCCCGCATCGGTCGCGCCCTTCTGGCCCGCCAGCTCGCCCCGCCGGCGGGCCAGAGCGCTGCTCGGGCAACTGCCGCCCGTGGCTCGGGCCGGGCGGAAGGGGGGGAGGAAGAGGAGGAGGAGGAGGAGGAGGAGGAGGAGGAGGAGGAGGAGGAGGAGGAGGAGGAGGAGGATTGGGAAAGGGGGGGTTAGAACATCTGCTGCATGCGGCTGGTTTCGGCCCCACCGAGGGGCCACTTCCTCGATGCATAGCCGCCTCCCGGCGCCGGGAGGCGCCGGGAGAATCGGCTCCGTGAGCTGATTCTCAACCCCCGTCCCTTTGTTATCCCCCCATTTCGCCCGGCCCGAGTGGCACAGGCGACGCGGGGGTGGGTCAGAAGGGGGCGGGGAATGAGGACAGAGGTTGCCAGGGGGGCAGCCCGAGCGCGAGCGACGGTGACCGCAGGGCCGCCGATGCCGCCGACGCCCACCATTGCTACCCTCGGCCAGGAGGGTCGGGTCGGGCGAAAGGGGGGGATTGGGAAAGGGGGGGTTACGAAAGCTGCTGCATGCAGCTGGTTTCGGCCCCACCGAGGGGCCTATTCCTCGATACATAGCCGCCTCCCGGCGCCGGGAGGCGCCGGGAAAATCAGCTACGTGAGCTGATTCTCAAACCCTCCATTTGCTATCCCCCCCTTTCGCCCGACCCGAGAGGGCTCTCGAGGACGACGTGGATCATGGTTCACCCTCCAGTGGCAGTGATCGGTGCGCGCGCCAGAGTGGCGCTGGCCTTGCATATCCGAGCGAGCTGGGGGCGGGTCCGAAGACAGGCGAGTGCGACGAGATCACGGGGACGAACCGGCCACTTTTGGCCGCAGCGTTGATGCGTCTTCGTCGACTTCGACCAACCAGCGAGAGTTTGACAGGAGTTGGTTCAGCCGCCATGGGAGGCGGTCGCCGAGACCGCCGGGCGATTCGAGCTCGACGAGGCCATGGGCGAGTTCATGATGCATCGTGATGCACCGTTTGTGGCGCTCGGGCCCGAGCGCCGACGGTCTGCCTGGACGGCGGGCGCCTCCCGAGATCAAGCGCCGAGGGGAGGGGTGTCAGACGCCAGCGGGAGGGGCTGCCGGAAAGGGGGCCGCGTCAGCGAGCTTCTCGTGCGGTGCTCTTCGGAGATCAAGCGCCACGCCGCGAGGTGTTTGGGGGGGGCTGTGCCGAGGGCCGTGCAGCGTGCGGCCGCATCGCTGCGGGCTCCCGCTCGCCTGCGCGGTCGCTGGTGAGTCCTTTCTCCCCTGGAGGTCTTCTCGGTGGCGGCTCGGGTGCCTGAAGACATCCAGCGCCTGGGGTGCCTGGGCATGCGGTGCGGCCCCAAGCGTGGCATGTGCAACGAGGGGTTAGGTTAGTGCAGCATAGGATGGATTCTCAGTGGTTCCGTCTCGGGCATGCACTTTGGGCCTCCTTGTACTTCCTGGTCGCGCGCCCGCGCGCGACCCTCAGGCCCGCGGCTTCTTAGAAATACAGGTCATGTACTAGGCCTGTCGCTGTTCAAACTGAACGAGAACTCTGGGAAGATTTGGGCAACAAGAAAAAGCATTTCACTTCCAGTATTGCTCAGGCGGCATATGTCCGTATGGCTTCGCATTGCATCTGAAAGCAGTGTTGTGTGTGTGTGTTTTGTTTTGTGGGGGGGCGCTTCGAATCATTCACGACGACAACACACAACACGTGACACTCGAGCGGTCTTCTGCCAGTGTCCCGTGGATGAAGCCGCTTTTGTGAGGTTGTCAACTCATTCCAATTGGGCCGCTCAACCTCAGGTGTGAATTCTGCAGGGGGAGATGTTCCAGAACTAATGTACCGCGCGTGTCTCTCACGGGTAAAGATGAGAATGTGTTTGTTCGAGCCCGTTCGGCCGAGGAATACGCACATATTTACCGGGTGTCTAACGGGTTCTAAAGCTGCCAGGCCAGCTCCTGGTTTTCAGTTTTGTAGAGTGCCCAGGCCAGGAATCCACCACCACTTCTTCTCATCCTTGGTAGAACAGCTTGCACGTTTAGAGCGAAGCAAGCTTCGCTTCAGAATCCTGCAAGTTCGTTTGAGTACAGGCTGTGTCCGAAGCCTGTGGCGCACAACGCTTGAGATCACGCAATGGCCGCACTGCCCGAGATGAGATATGGAGCGGCCATCGTCACGTCTCGTCTTTCGGGGAACGTGTCTCACGCTTCAGGCTGCAAATTCTACTAGCGCGCATGTCGTATAACAGATTCTCTCTGCACCCACTGTGGCTCCCACCCACCTCTCTTTGCACGTCGCTCTTATTGCCCGCCAGGAGCGGAGTAGGCTTCGCTTTACAATGCTGTGAGTTTGTTGGAGCACAGGTTGCCTTAAGATGCTGTGGTGCACAACGCTTGAGACCACGCGTCCACCGCACTGCCCGATGTTGTGAAGTACAAAGCGGCCGTCATCACGTTTCGTATCTCGTGGAACGTGTCTCATGTTTCAGGCTGCACATGCTCATCATCGTCGTCGTCGTAGTGGTCGTCGTGGGGGTCGTCGTCGTCGTCGTCGTCGTCGTCGTGGTCGTCGTCGTCGTCGTCGTCGTCGTCGTCCTTGTCGCCGCCATCGCGGCCGCCGCCGCCGCCGCTGCCGCCGTCGTCGTTTTGTCCTGGCTCACCCTGCGGCCCCCGCGCCGCGTCCCTGCAGGCCGCGCGGGTGTACTTACAGCACGCCGCCGCGCCTTCGAGCTGATGCGCTCGGGCGCTGCGGCGAGGCGCAGGAGGAGGAGGACGACGGTGGTGACTCTAAGTGCCCAGGGAGATCTCGGGGAGGAGCGGGGGGATTCTGGGGAGAGGAGTGGGGAGAAGGGTCGGGGACTGAGGCGGAGGAGGGGGAGGAGGAGGAGGAGGAGAAGGAATAGGCAAAGGAAAAGGATAAGGGGGAGGAGGAGGAGGAGGAGGAGGAGGAGGAGTGCTTACGATGTTGGCGATGGTGACGGTGATCGTACGATAACGAATATAATAAGGATGCAGACGATGATGATGACGATCACGATGACCATAATGATGACCATGATGGTGGTGCTGTAGGTGGTGGCAATGAGGGAAAGGAGGAGGAGGAGGAGGAGGAGGACGAATAACAATAATATTAACAAGAAGAAGAGGAGGAGGAGGACTTGAGGTGATATGGCTTGGGGGTGTTAACCCCGTTGGTGGGCCCACCTACCTGGTGTCACCGCCCTGTAGGGCACGGTGGCCCGTGTTGCCGCGATTGGAACGGCTGTGGCCGACGTTTCCCCCTCTTGGGCCACCTCAGCAGGCCAGAGTGCCGCGCCCGCAACAGTTGTGTGACCGACCTGGGGTCACCTAAGCAGGCCAGAGGGGGGGGAATGGGTATTTTGCGCCTGGGGGGACAAGATTTGTCCGCCCAGGCGGCCCATGGGGCTGAGGCCCCAGCCTCCGACTCATGGTGAGTACCATGATTCACGTTTCGTGCCGCGATGATTTGCTATGTCGGGGTGTTGGCAATCAGAACCTTGTCCGGTTGAGCCAGGGCGGTGTTGTGGGTCACCGTTGGCAATGCACAGCACCGTTTATCCCACTCAGTGGGATATATGGTTTCTGAGCACAGGGCTACACATGTTTCCGCAAACTTTTGACCTTCCGCCGGCGTTGGGGGGGTCACCGCTAGCAACGCACTACTTCGTGTTTCCCACTTCGTGGGATATATTGTTTTTACAACAGAGTTAACCTACTTATGTTCCAGAAACCCTTTGGTCTGGCGTCGGGGGTCAACGTTGGCATTGCACAACATCGCTTATCCCACCGAGTGGGAAGGATGGTTGCTGAGCACAGAGCACACCTAGCCATGTGTCAGAAACCCTTTTGGGCAAGACCTCCCGCCGGCGTCGGGGGCACCCGCTGGCACAACATCGCTTGTCCCACTTAGTGGGATGGATGGTTTCTGAACGCAGAGCCAACCTACACCTTAGGCGATGCTTAAGAAAACTTGAATTTTGGGCCAGAGTCTCGATTATTCTTAACTTTCAACGTAAATCACAAGATGTTGATAGAAGTTCTGGGTTTTATGCAAGTTCTGAGACTAAGAATTTCTTAACCCATGATTTCTTAAGCATTTCGCAGGGTGTACTCATGTCTCAGGAACCCTCTGGTGCAGCCCTCCCGCTGGCGTTGGGGCTTCACCGCTGGCAGTGCGGGGCGACCTCACCCCGCTGGACCCCGCAGAGCACGGTGGCTTGCGCTGCCGCGCCTGGAACAGCTGCGACCGACGTCTCCCCCTCTTGGAAAACCGAGGCAGGCCAGATAGGGTGCCGTGCCTGGGGTGGGCACGATTTGTCCGCCCAGGCGGCCCATGGGACTGAAGCCCCACTCCCCGCGCCACGTTCACCTGGTGAATGCCGCTATTCACACTCGCGCGTCTCATTTCATCGCCCAGTATGTGCCAGCGATATGATGATGGATCGCTCAAGCCCGGCGCTGGGTTGCGGCGCCCCGCGAACCCAGAAACAGAAGGCCTGGCTGGGCCTTGTGACGGTGCAGCGGCGTTAGGGGTCACCGTTGGCAATGTACAGCGTCGCTCATCCCACTGAGCGGGACGGATCATTGATGAGCACAAAGCAAACCTACTCATGTTTCAGGAGCCGTTGGCAACGCACGGCGTTGGCAATGCACGACATCGCTTATCCCATTTAGTGGGATAGATGGTTTCTGAACGCAGAGCTAACCTAGGCATGTTGCAGGAACCGTGGGCAGTGCACAACATCCATCGCTTGTCCCATTCAGTGGGATGGAGGGTCTCTGAACGCACAGCCAACCTGTTCATGTCTCAAGGACACCGGCGCGCGAGTCAATGTGCAGCTCGCGAAGCGAGATAGGTCATGTAAGATATTCAAATGAAGGACATACGCGACTCCCCATAAAGCTCTCAGCGAGGACGCAGCTCATCTGCGCCGCCGCGCCGCGGGCGGTCCTCTCGGGCTCGCGGAGTCTCTTGCGTCGCGCCAGCAATTGTGCATCGCGCTGGCAGGAGTTCTCTTCAGACTCGCTGGCCCTCCTTGCCTCGCACCGGCAGAGACAGGCCGCGGAGGCGCGTTTGCCCTGGGAATGGCGGCGTCGCGCCACCGATCTCGTCACATGCCACTCACAGAACGGCCTGTCATGATGAGTCTATGGTTTTGTTTATGAAGTCAATCACCGCTGGGTGATGTGGTGGACGTCTCATGTGCCAGACATACATTGCCGCCAGCATCTGTGACATCACTTCACAGGATGCCCATGCCTGTCCATTGATCTAGGGACGGGCGTCCGAGCTTCAGGTGCGAAGAGCCGCGCAGACGCGCCACGTACTGGGCGCGGTGGCTGTCGGAGGCCGCCGCGCCCGGAACGGCAACTTGGCCGACCCACGGCCACTTAAGCGGGCCGGAGTGTCAGTGTCAGTATGCCATCGGGAGCCTCGAGACGGGGGTCAATGCAGACGGGGTTCAGCCACAGCACCAGATCCTGCGAAGACCCCCTCTGGCTGACCCGGGTTAGCGAGCCGCTCGTGGCCGCGAGGCGGCCGCGCCTATTGGCTGACCCAGGTTTGCGAAGACCTGCGTTGCAGTTTTTTTTCCTGCATTGCAGTTTTTGGTTTCCTGCTGACCCGGGTCTGGATTGACCCGGGTCAGAAGATCCCCGATGCCAAGCAATACCCTTGTGGGGGTGGGATGCCCATGCTTGTCCATCGACAGGGATGGGCATCCTGGCTTCAGGCACCATGCGTGGATGCGAACGCCTGCGCATCGACAGGGGTGGACATGCATGCCCGCATGTCGCCTCCTTGACACCTTCCGTGTCGGAGGCCGCAGCTTGCGCTGTGGCGGAAACGGGATGCCAATGCCTGTCCTCGGACAGGGATGGGCATCCAAACCAAAACGACGCCATTTTCTGGCCGTCAGTGTCGAAGGCTGCCTCGCCCGCCGCGTGCCAAGCAAGGCCCTCATTGCGAGGGCGGAATGCCCACGCGCATCCATCGACAGGGATGTGCATCCTTGCTGCAGGCTCGAGGGGGCGGATGCCAACTCCTCCCAGCCGTCAACGCACGGAAAGCCAATGTCGGTTCCTGTCCATCGACAGGGGTGGGCATCCAGGCTAGCACGGCGTCGACATGATACCGACGTTGTCGAGGGCTGCCGTGCTCGCAACGGCAGTGGGGCCATCAAGCGGCCACCCCAGCGGGCCTCGTACCACGACCTCCTTGGGGAGGCCGCGGCTGGCTGGAATGCGAGGCCCTGAATACTCGGCCACTGTCGCCCAGCCACTCACCGGGCAGCGGGCTACTCGTGGGTGTTCTTCGAGTTCAGTGAACTCCTAGCGGCGCCCAGTGCGTCCCCTGAGTTTTTCCCTTTACCCAGTGTCGAACGGCGTCGGCATGGGGAGGAGAAGGAGGAGGAAAAGGAGGAGGAGGAGGAGGAGGAGGGAGCATAAGGAGGCGGACGAGGAGGAATGATGAGGAGGACCGTTGGGGAGGAGGGATGGAGCCAGCGAGGGAGGCGGACCCGCGTAAACCCAGCATGTGCAATTCTGTCTTAGGAATTTGGATCGCGGCTACAAGAAATCTGGATTTTAGCGCGGTGCCGCGTTGTGCCGATTACTTGCGGTAGTCATGATCAGCGTGAGTGCAGAAGTCGGCATTGATCACCGATTGAAGACAGCGCAGACTTGAATGTTCCCCAAGCAGTGCTTGCATTCAGGGTTTTGATTTCTTTTCTGGAGAACTGAGCCTGTGTGTCGGTCTGGCGGCTATGTTGTCGCCGTCGCCGCCTCTTCACCAGCCAACGTCGCTGGCCATCGTCTGCGCTTGAGCGTCGGTCTGGCGGCTATGTTGTCGCCGTCGCCGCCCCGTGGCCGCTGTCGCCGCCCGTCGCCGCCGTTCTATGGCACCACGTAGATTGCACAAGCTAGATTTCACTATGCTGAATGTTCTATGTAAGGTGCACCACATAGGTTCCACCACATATATTTTCATTTCTTTTTTCTTTTTCTCTTTTTGATTTTTTTTTGACATCAGCTCTACCCCGCCCCCCCCCCCCCGGCTTTATCGGTACACCTTTTTATGTGTCAATTGACATACGATTTTGCCCGATCGTCCATCCTAATTTTGACTCCATACCATCCCAGCCCAGCCGGTTTCGACCCCCCCGCCATTCTGAGCAAAAATTGTTACGCGCGCGCACTCGTTTATAACAAAACATAAGATGTCATGAGCCCCGCGAAAAATGGGACGAAGTGCACACGCGCGCGTCGTCGCGCGCGCATGCCGAAATCCTTCAAAATCCGTCGGTGTCGGAAGGATTTCAAAATTGAGCGTCCAACAAACATAAAAAACATATAGCTTCGCAACGAGGATTTTCAAACAAACAACACTTGCGCGCTCGCTCTTGCGATTCTTGGGAAAACCATAAGTTTTTCAACATGTTCGAAGAATACTACCACACGGGCTTCGCGCGAGCGCATGTCGAAATCGTTCGAACGCCTTTGCGCGCGATCGCGAGAATCTTTTGCAAAACACTGGACGAAGTGCACGTACAGTCGGGGCCCTGAAGAAGGAACTTTTTTTGTTGGGGAGGGGCTCCGTGTTCCTTAGTTGCTTTACAGTGCTCCGTGGGTGTTCCTGAGGTTTTCCGTGGAACATCGGAGAGTTTTATGTATGGGAAAAAGGGGCCTCGTTCCTTATTTATCGTTCCTTAGGTCAACTCCCCGACTGTACGCGCGTCGTCGCGCGCGCATGCCGAAATATTTCAAACACCTTCGGTTTCGTAGCGATGTTTTAACCGAAGGCCACAGAAACATGCAAACACAGGTGGTTTCGCAACATCAGTTTCAAAAAAAGCTTGCGCGCGCTCCTGCGAATTCTTTAAGAACACCGTCGGTATTTAACCAGGTTCATGGAATTCTGCCAAACGGGCCTCTGGCGCCGCATGCCGACATCATTCGCACGCCCTTGCGCGCGTGCTGAGGGGCACGGTCCGTGTCAAATAAAACCATGCGGGCCACTTTTGCGCATCGGCCGCAGGCGCATGTCGATCTCTTCCCAAAGCCTTCATCACCGACGCGAGGACGCCGTCATCATCGTCGGCGTGATCAGCATCGGCGCCCGCACTGGCCGCGCTTACGTCGGTGCGAACGTCGTCACCAGCACCGCCGCTATCATCAAAGTGTCTACCGTAGTCGGCGTTGCCACGATATCGCGCCGGCCCAAATTGCCCAATTGCAGTCAAGTGCCCGCTGGGATGCGCCCAGTGGTCAGCGCCACCCCGGGCAGAGTCGGTGGTGCCAAATTAGCTGGCCGCTGCGCGCGCGTGCTAAGGTAGGCGGGGCCGCAGAGATGCACCAACCAACGCAAAGCATGCATCGCAATCGCCACCGCATTGGTTTTGCAAACCAAGTTGCGGGTGGGTGGGTGTGATGTTTGCAAGAGCATGGGATGTGTTCGCTCGTTTGTTAAACCCAGTTGCAGCACATATTTTGCACCACGTCGATTGCACCACAGAAGTTGCACACCACACATATTGCACCACATAGGTTGCACCACATACTTTGCACAACATACATTGCACCACCCCGTATTTTGCCACATGGATCGCCCCCCCCCCCCACACACACACACACATATTGCACAACATGTATTGCACCACAGAAAGTGCGCACCACATATATTGCACAACATAGAGTGCGCCACACAGCTTACACCACGTAGATGTACATATAGATACCTATATATATATATAGAGAGAGAGAGAGAGAGAGAGAGAGTCACACCAGATATCGGACCACTTAGCTTGCACAGCCTAAATAGCTGGAGACACATTGTGACACATTGTTTGGAGTCCACGCTGTCTAACATGTGTAGGTGAGATGGGGAAAGTCAGCGGTTGGAAGGACATACAAGAAGCATGCGCGTGGAGCGTGCAATCTTTCCTCAATGTCGGGCCATGACAGAAGTCCAAATGGACTTTCTAGCTATTTTTTAAGAAATACCGCGTGTAGCGGCAATGGATATGCCTTAGGGTCCTGGTGCATTGTTGCCAGACGGCGCGCACCAGCTGCGAAATTTGCTTTGGCAGTGCTGTGGAGGGAGGGAGGGAGAGGTGCACTCAACATTTATATGTGGGAACGGCATGGAAGTGAGGAGGGGGAGAGGGTCAAGCTAGGTGCGCTCGCGACATACCCCTCCCACCCATCCCTTGCCATTGTGCTAACCTTCTTTCTACCCCGCGACTGGCGTGTTCCATAGGACATGGACACCCCCAACAAAGAGGACCTTGATCCCCAAAGTGGCGCCATCGTTTCGCTTGATGCGCAGTCATAACGGGGTCTTTGGTGGCAGTTGAACCGGGTGATTATCATGATGCGAAGGAAGGAGGTGGAGCAGCAACAGGAGCAGGATGAGCAGGACTTGCGGACCCCGTTCGAGGCGACATGCCGCCTACACCATGGGAGAGGCTCCCTTTCGGTGACGTGCCATTGTGGTGTGGCGTGACGTGTGCCCCCCCCCCTGCTGCACCTCCTCCCCGGGCGACGCCACGGACCACTGCGCGGCCTTTCTCCGAGGGCCCGCGGCCGCTGGACACGACGCCGTGGAGTGGGCCGAGCTTGAGGGCGCGGCGCTGCCGCGGCACCAGCACGGGGGGCGGCCCGCGGGCCCCGCCGGGGACCACCGGCGACACGCCGATCAGTGCATTGTCCGCGTTCGGTTCTCGAGAAGGGCGCCGCGGCCGTCATTTTTCAGGCTTGCGCCCGCCAGGTTTGGGCCCGGGGTCGCTGTTCACTAAACCATGTTGTGCTAAAGGGGGTTCTGTCCATCCCCGGTACACTACGGTTGTGTGACATTGAAATTCTCTCGCATGGTCCGGGCTTGCCACCCCTTCCTGGTTAGCTGGTTCTCCCACGCTGGTCGGGACTTTCGCCCTCTGGGGCCCCGTGTTGCCGGTCGGTTTCCGCACTCTGGTCGGGACTTTCGCCTTCTGGGCCCCGTGCTGCCGATCGGGTTTCCGCCCTCTGGGCTCCCTGCCCGCCCACTGCCCTGCTTCGCCAGTCCTGGTCGTTGCCTCGAGGCTGCCCCATGCAGAGTCTTCCTGTGCGCTTCGGCGAGGTAATCTGACCCCTGAGACGAGAAAAGTGCAGGGCTGGACCTGAACGCGGTTTAGCTGGACTTCGGCTGTGTATTGTTTTTTCGTTTTGACAGAGAAGGTATAGGAAAACAGCTGGAGCAAAACGAAAAACAAAGCGAAAACACAACGAAACAAACAACGTTTAGGTCCAGCCTTGGGGAAGTGCTCCTGCGATCGTCGTCTTTGCCACGTCCTCCGCCGCCCTGCGGCGCCCCCTGCGTCTCCCCGACCGATGCCGCTCGGCCTCTCGCGCGGTGCGTCTGCCCGACCAGTTCTGCTGCGGCTCTGTTCGCGTAGCGCCCGGGTCCAGTCAGTTTCGGACCTTCGTGTGCCCGCTCAGGCGCGGCCACCTCTTCGCGCTCGCCGCTTCGAGGCCTTGACCTCGTGGCCTTCGGTTCCGTTTCGCTGAGTCGATTTTGCCACGTGCACCTCTTCGCCTAGACCAACCTACTTTAGCTTTGGCCACCAGAAAGAATTTCGAGCACCAGAAAAAAGTACCACAACTCGAGGGTTTCCACGTGTCGGGCCCTGGGAAACACTGTTTCGACATTGTTTCGACACTCTTTCGACACGTTTCTGGGTGCTCGAAATTATGTCTGGGGTGTGGTCCTGAAGTTCGATGGGAGCAGCATAAGCATAGACTACCTCGCCCTGCCGCTCCGAGCTCTTCTCCAGTCGTGTCGACCAGCGGCGACTCCGCCAGCGGCGCTCAACTTTGAACGCCGCGGGCGACCCAGAATCGTTCGATGTGGAACGATCTGGACGTTTCGGAACCGGCCGATCGTTCCAGGTTGAACCATCCCCGCGGTGTCAGGAACCAATGCCTGGGTCGACACGACACGAACCTGCCGTACCTCGCCCTGCCGCTCCCAGCTCTTCTCCAGTGGCCCCCCCTTCGGCGCCCTGTGCCCCTCCGAGGGGTGTAAAGGATCCCCTATCCCAATTCTCTGAGGTTGCGCAGGGAGAACCGCAGCCTGCCCGCTTTGCAGACCTGCGCGCCGCCACGCTGCATCCGGGCAGGCTGTGCTGACCGGCGAGGGGGCGGCGGGCGAGGAGGAGGCGGGGGAACACGTGCCCCTCCGCGAGGCCTTCCGCAGCAGACTGGCCTCGGCCTCCGCTGCCCGCGCGCAGCTCGCCTGCCGGACAGGCTGCGGCATCCCCGCGCCGGCTTTCAGTCGGGGCTGGACAGAACCCCCCACAGTGACACGTCGATTAGTGAATTGTCCGTTTTCGGTTCTCGAGAGGGCGCCGCGGCCGTTATTTTCCAGGCTCGCGCCCGCCAGGTTTGGGCCTCAGGTCGTTTTCACTAAGCCACGTTTTACCAAACGGGGGTCTGTCCGTCCCCGAAGGGAAAGATCGGGGCTCAAGAGACGGGGGTCAATGCAAACGGGGGTCAGCCAGGGCACCGGATCCTGCAGGATCCTGCGAAGACCCCCTCTGGCTGACCTGGGTCAGCGAGCCGCTCGTGGCCACGAGGCGGCCGCGCGCATTGGCTGACCCGGGCTTGCGAAGACCTGCGTTGCAGTTGTTTCTTTCCTGCGCTGCAGTTTGGGTGTCCACTGTGAGGGCATCCACAAGAGTAGAGGGGGTGAGGGGTGCGTATCCACTGCGGGCGGATCCCGGGGGGCAGGATGTTGGCCTAGTTTTGTGGGCCGTAAGTCCGTAAGTGCAGCCGCTGTAGCATCGCTCTTCCAGCACGCCTTCGGTGCCCCCTTCTGCTCACCTCTCCTCTCCCATCCTCCTCTGCTCCCTTCGTTTTCTACCTCCTCCTCCCTTCTCCTGCCCTCCTTTCGTTCGTTCCCTGTTCCCTCCTTCCCCTGTTTCTCTCCCATCTCCCTTCCCTTCTCACCTCCCCCCCTCTCTTCGGCTGCTGCTTCCCTTGGAGGCGGCACCCGCCGGGCAGTTGTGAACTTGACTCGCTCCCCAGCGGATGACCGAACCTCATCTCTCCCTCTCCCTCTCCGTTAGGGGAACGAATGATGACACAAAGATAAGAATTCGGAGGTCCGCGCGCATTTATCGGATGGACCCCCCTCCCTGGCGCGCCGAGCGCGCCGGGGGCGGCGCCGGAGGCGCGGCCAGGGGGGTCCAGCGCAGATCCGAGAAATCCGGGCGGGCCTCCGAGTTTTTGTGTTTGTGTCATTGCTCGTTCCCCCAACCCTGTCCCTTCCCCATCCACGGCGCTGCAGAGAAGTCTGGCCACGGCAAGGCCGCCCGGCGCATCCTCGCGCTCAGAGATTTTTGACGCGAGCGCCGGTGACTTCGACACGACCGCTTCGGGGCGGCTCGCCAGGAGAGCCCTCGTCCGGGCTCTAAAATGTTATAACTGCGGCGCCATCGCCCGCTTGCCCCTTTGTCCCGGCGAGCGAAGAAGACCAGGTTGATGGCTCCCTGGCGGCGTACTGGAGGCGGGAGAGCAACAGGGAGGGAGGGAGGGGAGGGAGGGGAGGGGACAAGCTAGGTGCGCTCGCGTCATATCTGACGTCCTACCCCTCCCTCCCATCCATCACCATGGCGTAGACATCCTCTGTATTTTCACAGCCGGATGTCGAGCAGGGCAGTGATCGCAAGAGGGTGCGCGATCCATGGTAGAGCACGGCATGGCACGGCGTAGAAGAGCACGGCAAAGCACAGCATGGCGTGGCATTGCGCAGCGAAGCATTGCATCACAAAGCACTGCAACGCAAAGCATGGCATCTCACAGCGGCGCAGAACACAACACCGCACAGCATGTCATGGCATGGCGCCAGGTTCTTTGGAGGGTAGGTGGATCGTCTTCGAGAGGTCTGGGTCGGTCTGGAGTCGCTCCACGTCTAGCTCCTTGGGCTCCCCGAACAGCTCCACACAAGGCGGGGCTGAAGGGGAGTACCTGCTGGCTCTGCTTTCAACATCGCCTTCTCAAAGCACAAACGGGGCTCCCGCTTGATACTTCCTGAAAACGACGACGCCCCAAAGTGGGGGGGCTCGACACCGAATGTGCAGTCACTTCCGATGGTTTTCTCGCGTGGGCAATCTTCCCCAATCAGAGCTTGCCTCTGTAGGGGTCCTAGCGGATTTAATTAAGGGTAGGTGAGGTGCGCCGCCGATTCGGTGGCCTGGCCCGGGTTCGCCGCCGATTCGGTGGCCGGGCCCAGGTGCCCGGATGCCCAGGTGCCCGGATGCCCAGGTGCCGGGGTGCCCGGGTGACGGGTGCCCGGTGCCCGGGTGGGTGCCCGGGTGCCGGGTGCCCGGGTGCCCGGTGCCCTGTAGCCCTAAAGCTTTATAGCCCTATATTATATCCCTATCGCCCTATAGCCGTATAGCCCTATATCCCTATAACCCATATAGCCATATAGCCATATAGCCCATATGGCGCCCAAGAGCCCATATAGCCCTGTAGCCCTACAGCCCTACAGCCCTAAAAAGATTATGATTGGGTTTTTCTCTGGTATCATCTGATTTTGGGGGCCTAGTTGGAAAGAAGGCTAGCGCTGCAGCGGGAGCAGGATTCGGAATGAGCGGAGGCGCGGAAATGAGGCCAGCGCTACAGCGGGAGCACGATTTGGAACGAGCGGAAGCCCGAGAATCAGGCCAGCGCCTCAGCGGGAGCAACATGTGGGAAACAAAAACCAGCGAAAACCCCTATCCTGGGAATCTTGTTTGTAAAAAAACAATGCGCGGAGGGGGGCGGGATATTTCCCCGACGTCATGCATGAGGAGAGAGAGGAGAGTAGTATTCATAGCGTGTACACGCCGGTCGTTGAAAGTAGGTATCTTTGGATTGCCAGATCCCAAGATTCTTAAAGCGCCTTCCTACTTCAAGAATCGGCATGCTCTTGCTGTGTTTTGTTATTCTCTGGGAGGGCCTGGACACAATCAACTCTTTCAGCCTTCCTACTTCATGTTTTTATCTACTTCTTCCGACCGACGTGCATTGTGGAGGAGGAGGAGGAGGAGGAGGAGGGGTTAGAGGAGGGAGGAGCATAGGGAGAAGGAGGGAAGAGCCGAATGGATGATGAGCATGAGAGTTGCTCCGCCGAGGGTGCGCCCGGCTCTAGATTCGCGAATCCAGTTTTCGTGGCACTCCGAGCAGCATGCCGCACGAGCTCCACGGATAATTCAGCGAGAATGTGCGTAGGCCCACGCGTTCTCTTTCTTGCGGGCAATAATTCGGCGTACCGTTTGAGCACATACCATCCGATCGAACCTGTTGATTCGATGTTTTTCGGTTGGTGCCGAGGTATGTTGTACTTCTCCTCTAGTTTCCACCCTTGTCAAACGATACATGGGAAATGCGACAATTAATCCCAATGCGGATTGACAGCTCGCTTCTTCAGCTACTTCTTACACGCTGTCTATTTGAAACTTGATTTTAGTGTTAGCATTTCAATGGCTGCCTAACGTCTTCCGCAATGGCTTCATAGGTTCTTGTTTCGGTTTCCGTGCAAGTTTCCAGACATGGCCACCAGGTCAGGGGCGCGTCTGCACAAAGAAAAAGCATGAGACCAGGAGGCCAATTCTGATTGTCACCGTTGTTCTTGCTGCCCTGCGCCCCAGCACTACAGCGTTTGCTGGTGCCCTAACCTCCTTGCGTCACCCGATGGGTGTGATTCCCAGCGCGCGTACGGAACGAACACTTTCCGGAATATGGGGAGTGCACATGGTGTCCGTAGTCAGTGGCCACATGTGAATTTTACCCCCACCCCCCACGGTTTCTGAGGGGGGTTGGGGTTCACTCCGCTCGGGACCTTCCGAACGAAATGAAAACCCACACCCCCTCAGAAATCGTGTGGGGGGGGTATTGTTCACATGTGGCCACCGACGTAACTCCCGGACCAGAGAATTAGGCTGTCGGGTAGGGTGGGGGCGTTTCTATCGCCAGGCGTGACTCTTCAGCGCTCCTGCGGGCTAGACATCCTCTTAGGATGTAGGTCTTGCGAGGTCAAGTTCAGCATCGGCGCTGGTGTATCCGTGGTCGAAAACTGGGCCAATCCGGCATCATGCCAGTCAGTTGCGTCTAACACTTCTAAATTCCCATCCATTTTGTGATTATTGTTTTGAATAAAGCACTGTTGGTCTCCGCTCTCCTCCTCCTCCTCCTCCTCCTCATTCTCTTCTTCCTCCTTGGGGGGTCCGTCTCGAGAGTTCTCGCACATGCACGGCACAGGGACTGCGTTTGTGTTTGCATGTGCATTTCAATTCTTAACTCATGGGGTCCCTGATGCTCGACCTGCATGGCTGTCCTACGGAAGATTTCTTCGAAGGTGATGTTCTTCGGTTTCAGCTTTGTTCTGATCGCAATGTGAGGAATCGTCTTGCGAAGAAGTTGAGGGATCTCGACACAGCCTTCAACTGGACGCGGCACATCACAAGGCCGCGGATGCCGGAATGTCTCGAGGAGTTCGACACGCCGCCCCACGCGGACGGCCAGGTTAGCCCCAAAGGCATGAACGAGGCAACCTCTGATGTCAACCTCCTCCTCCTCCTCCTGCTCCTCCTCCTCCTCCTCCTCCTCCTGCTCCTCCTCCTCCTCCTGTGGTGCTCCTGTTTTGTACGTGTGGCGAACGCGGCACGTCGCCGCGAGAAGGAGTGGGCGCAGCAACCAGCTACGGGTGCTTCTCGGCCGCCAAGGGGGCGCTGGGCTGGCGGGGCCCCGCCGACCCCCGACCTGGTGGCGACCATCACGGCGGCCATCGAGAAGAAGTTTGATCAGAAGCTCAACAAGGTCCTCAAGGATTCGAAAGCTGGCAGTGGTGCGAGCAGTCACGGGGCACCTCCTGGTGGCGATGCTGCCCCTCCCGCTGTGGATCCCGTTGAGCAACGATCTGCTCGCATCGAGTCCCTTGAGAAGGCCATTCAACAGCTTGGGGAAGTCACCGACGATACGGACCCTGCCTATCCTGCCAAGTTGTGTCTTGAAGAGCAATTACGAGCTGCACGGCAGGCACAGTGAAGAGCCAAACCCGTCTTGCAGCAACACACCAACGCGGCTTTCCGCCTCCAGACGGCTCAGCGCAAGCAGGCTAAGGCAGCTGAGGCCGTGGAGTTTCAAAAGGTGCTCATCCAGAATGCGCAGAAGTCTCTCCAGGAGTGGCAGGAGAAGGCTGCTGCGCAGGACCGCGAGGTGCGAGCCCTCGAGCACGAGCTGTGCCGCACGATGCCCGATGGAGGGGCCAAGGCACCAGTGCAGGTTAAACTCGACTTGCCAACCGAGGTCATGGAGAGCGAAGTTAATGCTGACATTCGCCAGCTCCTGGCCAACCCTGCGTTTGTCAAGTTCAAACGGCTCTACTAGGACAACACTGCAGAGGCGGCCCCAGCGGGCCCTCCCGCTCCTGCGGTTGCTGAGGCACCTCCAGCACCTGAAGCTGCAGAAGCTCCCATGGATGGCCTTTCTCCAGAGGATGTGGATCGACTCCTCGCTGTCGCGGGCTACAAGCGCGCCTTCGAGCAGCGCCTTCAGGAGATGGGCGTCAACAGGGCACAAGTCGCTGCCGCTGCGGCCGCAGGGGCAGGACAGCAGCGTGGGTAGTGGCATCTACTTGAGCGGCCTCCCTGTTTCGGCGACTGGCCTGGTGGTGCCGCAGTACAAAGGATGCAGATGGACTACGGCGAGACTGTCCAGTTCGGCATCCCAGAATGTTTCCGCCCCTGGGAGTGGGCCTACCTCTCTCGCCCCTGGTGGCGGGCCCAATGCTGGCGCGGTTGCTGGCAATGTGTTTCATCGGCGCCCAAGTGGCGCCGCCCTCGTCCCTGCGCTTATTCCGCACCCAGCTATCGGAAAAGGAACTTGGTCAGGACCAGCACTTTTTTGAGTCATTCAATGGGAACGGCCGGTCGACGCTGTTGGATAAACTACGCATTAGCCAAGCTCTCATCGTGCGTGCTCAGGAGATTGGCACTGGACCTGAAGCGGCCGCAGATCTCCAACGTCAGCAAGGACTTGCGGCTTTCGAATGTTATGTAGCCCATTGGAGAACCGAGAGCCTGGATCGCATTATGCTGGCGTTGCCGTGCTTGTTCGCCGCCATCTTGGCATAAGGTGGAATCCTCATGGTGGAGAGATTGTGAAGGGCCGGCTCATCTCTGTCATGGCTGACATGCCTGAGTGGCCCTCTTTCGCCGTCTAGACCAAGCCAATCTGCACATCTTGAGGAAGCTGGGCACGCCGGTCGAGGAGACCACTGGAGCCATCATGGTGGGAGCTGATTGGGATATCGAGCCATCCATCATCGAAAAGAGTGGTTTCACACGAAAGGCAGGTCC